AAAATAGTCTAAGCTTTATTGATAACAAATGAAAAAATTGAATTCTTCACTTCCTATTACTTATTTTGAAAGTGTAAGTTGGGTATTAATTTATATGCATCATGTTCTATTTGGTTTCAAAAATGAATAATATATAAAATTGAAATAAGAACTCACTTAAACTGATATTAATTATACTTTGATAATATTAACAAGAGATTAACATTAGTATACCTGCATCTGAAATACGATAAATGAAAGTATTTGTATTAACAATGTTGTTATATATACACGAACTATAAGCAAATAGACGTCTTATCAAATATCAAAGTGATAATCATCATATAATATTGAGATGATTATCATCTGTAAGTTAAGCTTCATACTATGCATTTCAAATTCATTAGATCAGAAAAGAAAAGTTATGAAAATGAAAAGAAATAACAGGATGTGGATATCTACGTACAGACTACACACTTTAACAAATAATGATCAGTTTAAGAGAGAAACAAACAAACAAATAATCAAAACTACAGATACTCGATACCCTAGTACATGAGTGATAAATTAAAATATGGCCTTCTAGAAAATTGTTCGTCTTGACAAAATAAGATATAACTGAGCACATTTAGAGGACAAGAATCGCTTTATCGGTAATATGTTATGAAATAAGTAAAATTCTGTTCCTCATTATTCTACCTGAAATCAAATTTATGTTATTATTAGAAAAATTAAATAATGTTGCTTGTCTGGACTAACGATCCTCTAAAGACCGAACAAAATTAAGTAATAATAATAATATCAGTGCTGTAATGACGTAAAAGGTAGAATATAATGGCAGTTAGGTTAAGGAAAACATTTCAACAAAAATACATTCACATTAGTTCGATTAAAATTGCTATCATTCTCAGAACAAAGAAAACTGTGAAAGGAAAGAGAACAAAATAAACCTGTTTTCTTCCGAATAAAAACAAATAAATTATGACGAAAGAAATAAAAATCGATCATAGATACCGTCAAAATAATATTTATAGACTAAGAGGATAAACTGATCAACACTATTAAATCATTTAAAAACATTTGAACTATTCAAGTTTGCAGTAAATGAAAATCTGTCACCTAGAACATGAATTTCCTGTGTTGAAAGCATCACTACCAGGCGCGTTATCATCCAACAGCTCAGAATGTAAAAGAATGAGTCGGATACTATTAGCTTTGCATGAACATCAAGATTATATCACTTTGATTAAGCGAATGAGTTAGCCAAGTGAAAAATACTTAATCTGGATCATTTATACACGAATATGTTAAATAGTTTCTTGAGAACAATTCTAACAAGTAAACAAAATGTACCAAAAGTTTGGTATTCAAAGACTTCTTGACTTTTACTTTGTAGTGTTTGTTCCCATTTAGTTGTACGGCTCAAAAACTAAAATTTCTATTTACGAATGTTTCACTATAGAACCTGACAGAAACACCGAACTAAACATTCCTCAACTAATTGACGATTTCGGTTGATTGTATGTACCCATTTAAAATATACGTGTATTACAAAAAAGATGTCTGAATATGAGAATTCGCAGTTCATATTCTGTACTAAACACAAAGTGTAATTCAGTAAAATGATAAGACTAAAGATTTCATAAACATTTAACAGATATGGTACTTTCATATTGATCCATTCTTCTTATCACGTTATGTCTGTTAGTTAAGACAGACGAAAAAATATAAGTAAAAATTTAAACTTTGTTATAATAAAAATAAGAAAATCCATTTGTAAGCAGAAACGAAAGAAAGTATTAGAAACAATGAAAGTTTTTTGGATGAATGTATACGTATTTGTTGTCATGACATAATGCTGAAATAAGCTCTGTAAACAGAAATCAATAAAAATTGAGAGAGATTACATCACCAAATAAAAAGGCTGGATGTATACATGATAATAACCAGAAGATTAGTATAGTTTTAAAAGTAAGCGAAATACGCAAGTACATTTACTACGTATCTTTATCATTAGGTCAAATGGAGAACTAAAGAAAACAGAAAAATAAACAAAAATCTGTGTTGTTCCGAACGAAAACAACCTGAAATGTGATTGAAAGAATAGGAAAATAAAAATAGTTCTAAGTGATCTGATGGTACTGTGCTCGCCACAAGAACTCAAGGTCTGATTTCAACTTTGTGTGGAACCACGATTTCACACTGTTGATGAGCCTCGAACAAGGGTGGAACACATATTCAATGACCAATATTCCTCGATAATCCCCTCACTCCTATCTAATTCATCAATGGAATCTTCAAACAACACTAATAATAGTAATAATCACTCTATTTTGATCATATCTTTGCTTTACACTTGAGAAACGGAAGACGGTGGGGTCGTGGAAACCGAAATGAATGCCATAAATCTACACATCTCGATTCATAATGTGTCCAGATATTAATCAAACCATTGGGAGTACAATCAAGTGGAGTGATTAAGAGAACAGTTTTTAAGAATAAACTAATCAGTAGAGATTAATAAGGTTCTAATGAGTAGTATTATAGGTGTGAATAATGACCAGGATAAAGGACGAGAGACGATTAGTATAACAGATTGGATCGATGCAGTGAAATCGAAGAATAAACATATAGGGTAATAAGTTCTCTGCAACCGACCAGTTTTCCTCATCATAACGTTTGACTCATAGAATTATACAGATATTTCAAACTACTTAATAATCAGCTAGTAGTATTACACAAATAAACAAATTCAGCAGACAATGGAAAAATCTAGCAATAGACAAAATTAGCAATGAGTGTTACCACAAGAGTCACGAATCTGTTCTGCTCTCCTTGGATCTTCCAAGTGTTTCAACACGTATATCTGACTAGTGAGAAAAAGTATTTTCAAAATGTGTAGACTAACAAAATGAACAGGCTTATAAACTTCATTTTGATGTAGTGAGCTTTTTATATTTGACATAGTTGGTGTTCATAACATTTAACGACAGTGAAAATGATAAACAAGTCAGCCAACTGTGGAGAATACGAAGAACATTCGAACGAAATCTCGGCGATAAAGTCGGTGAATCATACAGTTCAGGGATAGAAGTCACCTGGGAAAACAAAGATCATAAACTGCTTACCACATCTGTACATTGTAGTTCGAGTCTATAAATGAAGAACCATGAATGGCATCCAAAAACTCATGTTGATTAGAAGATTGAAATGGAGATTAAACAAATCTTTTCAGCTTACAAATGATGTGGAGTCTCTTCGAGAGAATAATTAATTTCGGAGACTTGAACAATTGGTTTACTCTTTATGCGTGTGAATACCCTCCTTCTACCGTATATCTGACATGATTCATCCTTTGGCCGAAGTCAAAGAGATTCTTAAAGAAGTATCCATTGTAATTTGGTTATAGGACAACCAAATTAAATTATGAGGTGATACCAAACTACCCAATCAAATATAGTACTGAGGTTTAAGTTCAGGCCAGGGATATTCATAAGTGACGGTTCTCGACAAGTAGTTAAATGCATCAAAGAACTCCAGTGATGGAACATATTTTAACCAAATCAACTAGCCAGCTATGTGTCCTTGGGTGTACCACTTGTCCATGATGATGTAGGTGTGTGTACATGTAGATAAAGCTACTGCTTCTCTCGCTTTTGTCGTCCAAGTAAGAAATTCTTAGATTCCCCTCCAATCTATGAGGTGTGAACCAACTATATCTCAATATATCAGAGTACTTTCAGGTGATCCCTCAACTAGTAGTACAGACTTATCAACCTGAAAGGATGATCTGAAGAAATCCTACTCATAAATTGTTGGTAGCTGTCTACTCCTATTTCATACCAAAATGTCTTATAAATCAACTTGACAATTTATATTCCAAACTATGAATTGTTTAGAAGATAAATTAGGAATTGGTGACAAGTCCCAGCTGATGTGCGTTATGTTGGTAGATAAGTAAATGAACATGGAGAATACCATCAGGTTCCTTTTATGTTGTCACGTTCTCTGTAAATTAAGCAATAGTTAAATTACAGACCAAACGTAAATCAGCATGTATAATTGACCTTGGGTAGATCATAAGCATAATGAAGAAAGTATCTAGTGATTGCTAGTATCAAGAGCTTTATCGACTGAAGTCAATCGTTGAAATCTCGATGTTCTGTTAGTTGTTGAGGATAAACAAAATTAAAATGAAGTATAACGGTAATCAACACTTTTACAGGTGAACGAGCATCACAACCGATTACTTCTAACGTATTAATCAAAACATAGTCAAGTATTCAATATATTTTGTTTTCTAATATTACATAGCATATCAACAGTCATAGAATGCAATGGAACCAAATCTAAACGAATACATGCAAATAACATGGCAGAATATTGATAAGTGTGAAATGGTTACGATGGTGGTTTATTGGTCAACTGTTTGAGAAAAACGTGTACGATGCAGTGGGATCATCGACAACACCGTCTCATAAATTGCCTCACCATAACGCATGCATATAATGCCAGTGAACATTGGTATTAGTAAATATCGACATATGCACAGAAAACGATCAATCCATCGACCAGGACGTTGTAGCTTGTCAATTGCCTGGATCATTATGCTTCTTTCGTTTAAATGTGGATATGGTATATCCGATGGTGGAATAGGAAAGCCTAGGAATTCACACAATGGTTCCCAACCTTGACTTGAGTCAAATACTAATAGACGATCAGAAGGAATACTTCTAATAACTTCCTCATTCCAATTAGTATAGATATTTTTCAGCTGTTCATCGGTCCTTTTGTAAAAACATCTTCCTAACGTCTGTTGAAACATTTGATAATGCAACTTATACAAACTCTGCAAACCAATTAGTCGATGAATAATGCGGTTTCCAAGTGATGGTTTTTTATACAATGTCTCTGACAATGTAGTTGCGCGACAGCTTTTAACCCAATCATCTGGATCACGAATAGTTAAAACAATCTAACAATTGATTAAAAAAATAGACGGATAGATTTAAGTTTATAGATCAATTTTGTTTAGATATTGTGAATGTTGATGATGATGATGATGATGATGATGATGATGATGATGATGATGATGATGATGATGATGATGATGATGATGATGATGATGATGATGATGATGATGATGATGATGATGATGATGATGATGATGATGATGATGATGATGATGATGATGATGATGATGATGATGATGGCATAGATGATTGGAATAAACATTGATTACCGAAAATTTGTTGGAACGTTATTGTCTATTCATTCTAGATTTATGAGGAACGAAATCAAACATTTCGATAGTGGTTGGATGAAATGGTTACGGGGTTGTAGACGTGCAACGGAAGTACATTAATACTACTGAAATGGTGTATTCCATCGTTGGTGAACTACCTCAAACCTTGTCACAAGAGTACGGTTCGACAGTCTATTGGTTGAGTAAATCTAATCACTGAGTTCAAAAGTGTTATTATTATAGCATTGATTGTAACTGATTAGCGATACTTCTTCAGCAACAACACCAACAACCACAATAACGTCAACAACAATAGTAGGCTGAAAGTCTAATATGTGTGCATATGTGCATTGCTAACTTTAAATGATGCAGATGAATTTATTCCAATAGGTCTGTTTTCAACCGACTCGAATCATACTACTAAACTAACCAACCTAAATCGTTAGTCACTAATACCATAATATCCTTGTAATAGAAAGTAATGAATAAACGGAAAGTTGGGTTCTAGAATTATCGCCTTCAATATAAATATCGCTCGTGAAGAAACTGAGAATTTTGAAATATCAATCATAGCAAACCAAGATAACAGTAGACTGTAGCAAATTATTGAACAAACATACATATGATTATTCTCTTATTGGTATTACGACTGAAATCGACTATTTAAACGAATTAGAAAATAGTTAATTTACATTTGAGTATGTTCCCAAGAATTGATTAATAGGACATAATGATCCTACAAAATGCAACTATTTGTTAGTGAAAGATCTACCAAGCAAAACATATCGGTGATTAGGGAAAGATTTATACTCCGAAAAGAGTGATGTTTTGTCTATGCTATCATGAAAAATCCTTTTGTCGCTTGTACAGCTATTCATATATCAAATTTCGTCAATGCGCTCCTTAAGTCCGTATAATACTGACTAAATAAATATACTCAGAAGATGTAACTAATTTTAGACAGACTGAATTCGAAACAATCAATAAGATTACATATGTCATAAACAACTTACCTTCGCATTTGGATAAATCTTTGACAAGTGCTTATAAAACCCGGCAGTTGGATAATCAACTGCAGCCACAAAATCATTGTAGATATATGACCAAAATTGTTTAGGTATTTCTTTCTTCTCTCTATCTTGTTTTATTGCCCACAACCATAATTTGATATGTGGTTCACGAATATTAAGTACTAATTCTTGCATATGATAGCATTGTTTCTTATATAAGTACTCCAAAGCGAATTTGAGACTGGTTGTTCCGGAACGCATAAGTCCAGCTCCGACTACTTGTAGACCGAAATCCATTTGAGAATTCACTCTGTAGATACTAGTAAAGTGTTCTGCAATGAGCAAAAACGTTTTAGTCAAAGATGTAATATTTTGGTTAGTTGTAAAAACAGCATTTGCGTTATCCAAAATGTGGTATACAAAACTTAAAAAATGTACGTCCAATCTATGCTCTGTGTTATTTGTAAATAATTTGATTACGAACATCTTTATCAATATCGTCATTACGCCGAATTTCTTATGGTACTATCTGATATAATTTTGTTTTATTCTAACAGATGCTCAGATCCCCCACACCTATTGTTCATCATGATATTTGTAACGTCAAGACGAGAAGTGATGATCACCTTCTGCTTAACACAACTGGTGTGCATGAGATGAGATATGAAGACAAAAGACTGGCTTACTATACAAAATCAGTTTTAATATGTAATCATTCAACTCATTTATTAAAATAAAACATCTATCATTAAGATCAAACCAGAAGGCTGGTTCATAAAAGTACGGTAAGTTTGAGAAAGGGATGATTGAATATTTCATCAAATCGCATCAACATACAAACTCACCATGATGTCTAATCGAAATGAGCGGACAAGTGATTTCTTTCTTATTTAGTCCTATCATATTATTGCGTTCAGTCGTATCAGTATTACTTGTCTCCGTATCACTATCCTCTTCGCCATCAGTTTCATTAAGTAGTTTGTTTGGATACTCGACAGTTGTATTCATTTCTTACTTCTCGTTCAGTCAATTTGAATAACTATATAATTAGATAGTAAGACTTTTCTCTTGATCGCTTACATTTATAGGATTTTCTCGTATTCAATTCTACTTGGACATTCTTTAGTTTCTATGAGAAGATAAAAAAATCACATCTCATACTCTCAACTGTTTTTAATTAAACTCATTATAATGAACATATTTTTGAAGGTCTCAGTATTTCTGTGTTGTCTATAGTTATAAAAAATTTAAAAACAAAACACCACTGTCTTAAACCATGTATCTCGTTTATTCAATCCCATTTGATTAAAATAGTAAAATAGTGGTAAAAAGTTGAAAAAGTAGTCACACTGACTGTCCAACAAAGGTTCGCATATTTTCATAATTCACAAAAAGTATACTTAAAAACCTTGGCCTATTTCTCTTAAGTAGGATATATTTTGACCTTCATGAATGCTTTCTTAAACATTTATTAATAGAAGTGTGAAACAAACTGAGAATGACAGATTGCTTCCTATTACCGAAGATGGATTCCGTTTTGTAAGAAGTTAGGAGATATTTAATTTAATATTTATGCGCATCTACAGATATGCTTAGGATGCTATATTTTATCAGTTTAACTTCATACGAATTCATCCAACATTATTTGTTTTGTCTCTACTTGAGTCTTTTAATAAACATGAGTTTTTGGATGCCATTCATGGTTCTTCATTTATAGACTCGAACTACAATGTACAGATGTGGTAAGCAGTTTATGATCTTTGTTTTCCCAGGTGACTTCTATCCCTGAACTGTATGATTCACCGACTTTATCGCCGAGATTTCGTTCGAATGTTCTTCGTATTCTCCACAGTTGGCTGACTTGTTTATCATTTTCACTGTCGTTAAATGTTATGAACACCAACTATGTCAAATATAAAAAGCTCACTACATCAAAATGAAGTTTATAAGCCTGTTCATTTTGTTAGTCTACACATTTTGAAAATACTTTTTCTCACTAGTCAGATATACGTGTTGAAACACTTGGAAGATCCAAGGAGAGCAGAACAGATTCGTGACTCTTGTGGTAACACTCATTGCTAATTTTGTCTATTGCTAGATTTTTCCATTGTCTGCTGAATTTGTTTATTTGTGTAATACTACTAGCTGATTATTAAGTAGTTTGAAATATCTGTATAATTCTATGAGTCAAACGTTATGATGAGGAAAACTGGTCGGTTGCAGAGAACTTATTACCCTATATGTTTATTCTTCGATTTCACTGCATCGATCCAATCTGTTATACTAATCGTCTCTCGTCCTTTATCCTGGTCATTATTCACACCTATAATACTACTCATTAGAACCTTATTAATCTCTACTGATTAGTTTATTCTTAAAAACTGTTCTCTTAATCACTCCACTTGATTGTACTCCCAATGGTTTGATTAATATCTGGACACATTATGAATCGAGATGTGTAGATTTATGGCATTCATTTCGGTTTCCACGACCCCACCGTCTTCCGTTTCTCAAGTGTAAAGCAAAGATATGATCAAAATAGAGTGATTATTACTATTATTAGTGTTGTTTGAAGATTCCATTGATGAATTAGATAGGAGTGAGGGGATTATCGAGGAATATTGGTCATTGAATATGTGTTCCACCCTTGTTCGAGGCTCATCAACAGTGTGAAATCGTGGTTCCACACAAAGTTGAAATCAGACCTTGAGTTCTTGTGGCGAGCACAGTACCATCAGATCACTTAGAACTATTTTTATTTTCCTATTCTTTCAATCACATTTCAGGTTGTTTTCGTTCGGAACAACACAGATTTTTGTTTATTTTTCTGTTTTCTTTAGTTCTCCATTTGACCTAATGATAAAGATACGTAGTAAATGTACTTGCGTATTTCGCTTACTTTTAAAACTATACTAATCTTCTGGTTATTATCATGTATACATCCAGCCTTTTTATTTGGTGATGTAATCTCTCTCAATTTTTATTGATTTCTGTTTACAGAGCTTATTTCAGCATTATGTCATGACAACAAATACGTATACATTCATCCAAAAAACTTTCATTGTTTCTAATACTTTCTTTCGTTTCTGCTTACAAATGGATTTTCTTATTTTTATTATAACAAAGTTTAAATTTTTACTTATATTTTTTCGTCTGTCTTAACTAACAGACATAACGTGATAAGAAGAATGGATCAATATGAAAGTACCATATCTGTTAAATGTTTATGAAATCTTTAGTCTTATCATTTTACTGAATTACACTTTGTGTTTAGTACAGAATATGAACTGCGAATTCTCATATTCAGACATCTTTTTTGTAATACACGTATATTTTAAATGGGTACATACAATCAACCGAAATCGTCAATTAGTTGAGGAATGTTTAGTTCGGTGTTTCTGTCAGGTTCTATAGTGAAACATTCGTAAATAGAAATTTTAGTTTTTGAGCCGTACAACTAAATGGGAACAAACACTACAAAGTAAAAGTCAAGAAGTCTTTGAATACCAAACTTTTGGTACATTTTGTTTACTTGTTAGAATTGTTCTCAAGAAACTATTTAACATATTCGTGTATAAATGATCCAGATTAAGTATTTTTCACTTGGCTAACTCATTCGCTTAATCAAAGTGATATAATCTTGATGTTCATGCAAAGCTAATAGTATCCGACTCATTCTTTTACATTCTGAGCTGTTGGATGATAACGCGCCTGGTAGTGATGCTTTCAACACAGGAAATTCATGTTCTAGGTGACAGATTTTCATTTACTGCAAACTTGAATAGTTCAAATGTTTTTAAATGATTTAATAGTGTTGATCAGTTTATCCTCTTAGTCTATAAATATTATTTTGAACGTATTTATGACCATTGTACTTAAATACTTTCATCTTCTTGTATGAGATGAATAATTAAACCAGTTTAGTTTTTTTCATATTTTGATAGAAATATGGTCAATATATTTATTCTGCAAAATAGCACAACGTGGATATTTATCCTTTTTCTAGGAATTAATGAAGATATTCTTGAGTAAATGTGAATGCAATACAAATGATATGGGACTGTATTTCTACGTCCTACTCGGAAACAGTAATTAAATAATCAGAACAATGAACTAGTAAAATGAATACTATACAAAAATGCCCTAATCAGATGGTAAACAAATTATTTTCTCTTATTTATAATTCTTATCAATATAAAAAGCGGACTTTCAATTTTTTATTTGGCTTTATAACCAAATATCCATCATTTAAACGTATGTGAAAGATTATCTAAAGTAAAGTAACAGAAGAAAGGTTCCATGTTTATACTTCTCGACAACTTTTACAGAATCTTTAATTCTACAAACCTCTTGTTTACAACAATGTCATTATTAAATCGAAAGCAAAGGAGTTTAGACTTTATGCACAAACTTAATCCATAAATTTAAAAGGTAATGGTCATTCATATCTCCCTTCCAATGTAAAATTGTTTTCAATGTTTAGATTCAGGAGGTTATGATTTTTTAAAACTCTTGTCCTCTTTTACTTTTTGCTACTATATTGACTAGTAACAACCAAAGACTTTACGACAATAATATTCCTGGTTAACTCAACAACATCGCAAAGCTGTTTCACTGGATGATGCCAATAGACGAAATATTAGCAAAATAGTTTTTTAAATAGATTTTTGATCACACCATTCCTCTGGAACCGAAGCCAATATGTTGGGTGGAGTTAAGGCATATATTTTTCCCTCGTAGCTAGTCTACTACTGATGGGCATTTCACTTATCCATTAAATACAAACACACTATATTTTCGGACTAGTTGGATTCTTTTTTATAAACGTATGATGACAAACTGCTTCTAAAATGATTGGTTGGAGATAACCATAAACTAGGAACCAAATGGAGGTCTTTACGATAATGTCAAAATTCGCTTCACTATACATGCTATTCACACTTCTGAAGTAACTATTTTAGTTTGAAAAATCATCTGAACTTTTCCAGGTCCAAAAATATGGTATGTTATTGATATTCAAAGACGTATATTTGGTGAAATTTAGTTTTTTCTTAGGTCATCTGGAATTCATATTAATTATTGATTTGCTTTAAAATTTCGTTCAATGACTTTTTTCTTTAACTATTATTCCGTGTTAAAATTATGGTGATACCTGGTAATTACTAGAACTATGATTGACAATTTGTACGTATTCTTTGGATTTCTATACCCCACTTCCAAATCCATTAAGAAGTACCTCTCATCTCAAGATTAGAGGCCTGATTTCCTGGAAACCACCAGCTACCATTATATTCAGATTACTCCCAACTGCAAAACGCTCGAAGTTTCAGAAATTTCATGTATTTTGTGACATTTTCAGCTGCATATCTACCTCGTTTCTTTAATTTTCTCAGCATTTGCCATTAGTTCTACTCAAATGTGATTTTTGATGCTATATTATGGAAAGTAGTCACTGATCGATTGTTTAAATTTAAGAACTAATATTCTAGTCTGTTATATCATCT